TTATATACGTTCGATTGACTACCTCTCAAAATCAAACTCTGTGTAATAAACAACATGAAACTAACACCCCACATATTCTAAAAATGTTCCTTCTTTGGTATCATCGACCTGCTTACTTACCATCATAGTACTCCACCTCTTTTAGAAAAGCGAAATTGTATGTGTAAAAAATTTGTACTATAATCTCTCTCAAAAAATTCAGAATTTGACCAGCATTATATTTTGTTTTATGTACATGCAATAAATTACCACACCTTAACTCTGATATCAAATATCGAATAACAAAGATTTCATGACGATTTGAATCCAAAGTATTGCTAGCTCTTCGTGTGCGAAACACGTGGTCAATAGAGAAAGACATATGACATATAACTTATACACTACTAGAATCCGATATATATAATGTGAGCAGAGGATGTTTCTGCATAGAGTCAATAGCAACAGATGATAATTTATTCACCGAAATCGTACTGACAGCAGTATGTGCCGAACGCATTGGGCGAGTACAATCGGAAGTTATTGTGCTAATAATGCAGCAACCATATTTGCTATTACTACTGTACTCTCTCGCAACCTTGTAAAGCTTAATTTATGCTCACCACTTTTTTTTTTAGTATGTTCCTAAATGTCACACCATGTATAAGTCGGTCAGTACCTTCGAGCAACATTATGCATTTGGTTGTCATGACGTTACCATTACCAACTCATTCCAGATGTCGAGTGTGTAATCACGAAGCTTTTACTTTAATAAACTCCACATACATAGCACGCATTAGTAGAACGTGCACTATGCTGCGTTGTCTAAGCTGTTTCAGCCGAAAAGGCGTAAAAGAGGACAATACTGACCCAATTGAAACCTCCGCCTCTGCGATAGTAGCTCACGATAACAAAAAGCCGACATTCGAAGACACGTACGAGATATTGTATCAGATTGGAGAAGGTAAGACTGGTCAGGTGTTTGTCGCGAAGAAGAAGCGGCCGCGCTATCGTAGTCGTGCTAAGACTATAGCTGAACAGCAGCAACGTGAGCGGGAAGCACGCGAGTGTGACGAGGAGGTGGCGGTCAAATTTGTGCGACAAGAGTATTTATCTACATCTAATCGTATCGAGGCATTGCAGTCCGAGTTAGATATATTACGTCGTGTGAAACACCCAGGAATTCTTCGTTTGCGGCAAGTTTTTCAAGATGAGGATAAATTTGCGATTGTGACAGATAAAGCGACGGGTGGCGAGGTGATGACCGCGATCTGTAGACCAGAATGCCCACGAATCCGTGAATGTGATGTGGCCGACATTATCCGTCAATTGCTGAGTATACTTGCATATTTGCATCTTAATGGAATAACCCACCGCGACGTCAAAGTGGAAAACATTTTATGCAAGACCAAAGACTTGCGTGGTGGTGTGCTACTTATCGACTTTGGCTTGGCACATATGGGAACTGTCGGAGGCACTGAAATGTCTGGTATGAATGGAACACCACATTACATGGCACCAGAAATGTTTTTTAAAAATGGACATTACGGCTGGGCTATTGATCTTTGGTCACTTGGAGTCGTCACCTACATCCTTCTGTTCGGACAGTTTCCATTCGATGCACGATTCATGTCACAAGTAGAAGACAAGATTGTCAAAGGCGAATTTGAGTATCCAAACGAAATTGAACCAATGGTTTCTCATCAAGCTAAGAAGTTTATCGAGTATTTGCTTGTGGTAAATCCACGTGAGCGTCCACCTGCTGCAATGGCATTGCAGCACCCTTGGCTACAAACGGACGCTTCATCGATGGAGCCATTCACAGATATGCATATGGCTGCACTAGCAAAGTTTAGCGAGGGTAAAAAATCCTTTGTGCCACCTCCTTCTAAAGAATATGTGCCTCCCGACCTTATTCCAAAGGATGGCGCCATCAATTAGACGTGACAGAAAACGGTACATTAATGGTAATAAATTGCGTTTGTCTATTTTTCTGGCCGCATCGTGAATAGACGATTATTGAAAGATCTGGTTCATGATTAACAGCAGACGCCCAGTTATCCATTGCACGTTGCCTCTACAGAGGCCACGACGAAGAATTATTGTCTGCCACAGCTGCCAAACTTAAAGTCGGACTATTGGAGCGCGGGAAGTAAAAATCGGACAAAAAACACAAGCGTAACCTTCAAAATCGCGCTTGTTGAAACAGCATGTACACGTTGAGTATTTGTGCATTGCCAATGGGTCTAGCCAATTAATCACCGATTTTAGGACATGAGAACAATAATGAGATCCAGCTGCGTTGTATGGGAAGATAGCCAGCGGAAGAACAGAGATCCGAAGATTCCTGGGAACACATTTTCTGCCACAATCCACTTGAGCAGGTGTGGTCGGTCTTTATGCATCGAGCGCTCGTGAATGAAGATGCATAAGAGTACCCTCGCCTCAGTGCGAAGAAAATTTCAGTGCAAAGAAATTTCGAACTGGGCACAACCTTATATACATCCAACTTTGAGCGAGTAATGCAACAAACTACACTACAAAAGTTCTCGTATTGTTGACTTTGAAGACGTTGTTTAGTAATGACGTATCCAGCATTAACTGTGATGCAAATAATGCAACAGATATTCCTCCAAAGTGTTCAAGGGTCCTTCATGAGAACCTTTGGCAGCAGGAAAGATTAAAAGTTCGTATTAGTCCATTGATCGGACTGCAGCAACGTCGTGATACTTGTTAGTATAGCATGTACCGCAGCGAATAGCGTCATAACCATAAAAAGACGAGATCAAACAAGCGCGTTCATCGTGTATCGTTGCGACCTCTTTCCTTTGCTTATTTAAACAAGGTAGAATAAAAAAATGCCCCAACTTTTGCTATATATATATTTTTTTCCCAACTTTCAAAAAATAAAAAAAATACCACCGGGGAGCCGTAATATTACACAACAGAAAATGTATTGTATTAGGAATGAATTAGCATAATTTAACAAAGAGAGAATAAAAAAAATGCACCAACTTTTGCCATATATAAAAAAAATATCCCAACTTT